ATGAGACAACTATATGCTAAGATTGAAAGTTAGAGAAGCTCTGGGCAACAGCTGAAGCGGACCAAACCGTGAGGAGGGTAGAAGAAGGAAGTAAATTTTTCGTTGCAAAAAATAGAATAGCCTAGAGCGCCACCGGTATGGTTAGCAAGAAAGTGTAGAAACGGTTTCAAAGCGAGGATAGATGGTGAGGGTGTTGGCACTTAGTATCACGAACCTGTATGAGTATGAGAATGATATCACGTTTTTTTCACAGTAGAACCCAATCAACACTAATGCTGTTTTCCCCATACAATTCCCATTTAGAGAAATGATTCGCATACATGCTCGAGTTCCATGGAACAGCTACTGTAATCGCTTGCGTCGGTGCCGGCAATTCTTGTTCTGAGGTGAGCTCTCTGAGGATTGGCAAGGTTCCGCTGAAAGCGATCTACATATTCGGTACATCACTTGGACCTATTTCTTGGCGCCGGGCACCATTCCCTTCAAGGGAAGGTCAGAAGAACTTTGGAACCTACTCGAGTAACCGCTTTCAAACCAAGCATAACCCCTCAGGGTAGAAATTTCCCCCCGGAACATGAATTACCGGCACGATTCCGCAAATTTAGAGCTAAAAATCATTGTAAATTAGTCCACTTGTTTTGAGCCTTGAAGCCCCTTGGGGGATTACAGTACTTGCACATGTGCCAGAGAGTCAGTGGTGCCAAATGTATTCGATCCACTGAGCTCAAACATGGAACCAGTACCCGATTACGGCCAAAGCCACCCATTGAAAAGAGGGGAAATCAGCTAGGAGATCCCTCCGTCTTACTAAACGCCCCGGGACCGTTACTGTATTCATCACATTTACGATACGGATAAAGCCCCAGCACGTGAAATTTAGCATTGCTCCCTATCCTTAAGGTAATCACCATTTCAAACCGACTCTCCAAGATGCCCCACACATCTCCTATACCGCTCATAGGATTCACCGCAGCCAAGTTCAAGCCCCGAAGCGAAAGCCAATTGTGATATTTCAAAATATCAATACCCGGTTTGTGATCCGACCAAGTTATTACTGGGATCTCCGGCATCTCCGGGATAAAGCGGGCCCTACTGACCAATGACACCGTCCCCGGCTCCAGCCGGCATATCTACTTATAGACTATATAGATAGAAACATCACTTCTGCCACCCCGGCCGAAGCTTGGATAGGCAAAGTACCGGTACCGGTATCAACAAGAGCATCATCCGCATGCTCAAATCGACCACTGCCGAACGGATAACGTAGTATCCACAGCATCGCTTTCCGACAGCGACCACATTGGCCTACCAGTAATCATACTCCATCACCGTAGTCACGCAAGCAAAAGGCCTCTTGGTAGTGGAGTGATAAGTTATCTAAACAACCTTCCATTACCTCCTTGGGGTCCCCTCTACACCTCCGAGACCGCGAACTCACGCTTCCCCGGTATCATATGCAAGTATGTGCAGTCGATCTATCGGAATCCCGCAACCACAGTGCGAGAACCTGAGGGCGCCCCGCCACCAACACGCTTGTTATGAAGAGCAAGAAAAATTAAAGCCTAAGAAAGTGAGGGCTAGGAGGCCCGACAAGGTATTATCGGAAACGGCTAGCTCTATCCGATCTTACTAAATTCCAAAGATATGATACTATACCACGAGAAAGTTAGATATGCACCAACAGCGCTTGTTGTGCATACCGGTACTTAAAAAAACTGCCCGTGAATATCCCTCCAGAAGCCTCCCCAATCCAAGAGCTTCAAAAATAAAGTGACTTCCGGCAGTCAGTAGCAAAAATACCAAGTTCTCAGTCAGACCCCGCACACCCACCAAGAGCAGACCCCCACCCCCGAAATCACAAACACCATATTATTAAAAGACCCCAAACCCTTTCCCGCAGCCAACTAATCCACTATCATACCGCACCACAACCACCACCACCCACCAGCACCACCCGCCAACACCAATGCACTACACCGTGGTCCTTCGTAGATGCAACCCCCATTCCTCCTCTTCCATACAGCAACCAAGATCAACACATTCAGAACAAACACCGGATGCATGCGTGCATGCATGCAGGTGCCCACTGCATTCTGATGCTCGGTGAGCTGGCTGATTGGTAAACTAAAAATATGATGTAGATTTAACCCGCGAGGCAATGGCAGCTAGGGTAGTTTGGCCCTGCTAGGATCCGTTGAGGAAGAGGGGAAGAGAGCTCCCGGCGCTAGATGACGCACGAGCTCACAGTAAGCTCGGGGTGTGCATCATAGATACGGTGCCGTTGTGGTTTGATGTTGAAAGGAGGAGCAGACTTTAAAGTCCTAGTTGTAGTATCGGCTACCTTGCATTTTGAGGATGGCTTGGGAATTGATCTTCTGGAGAGAGGATCTAGACTATGGGGGATTCAGACCCCCCTTCGAATGCACCCGGAGAGAGATATAAGAGGGGCGTTAATAAAGCCCACCAATTGCCCCCCCTGAAAGTAGCAGACCAGAGACCACTCCACCTCTACCGTATCAGGGCGATGATACAAAAACAGAAGAAAACATCAATCCGGAAGCTCTTGGCGTAAGTGGGGGGCATTCGAGCAACCACTGGAAGCCCTTTCACACAACAATCCAAGGCTTTGGATATGGCTTGAATGAACATGCCTGCGCATGCAGCATTGGCGATGTATCCCGGTCACCGGTAGACGAGATATTATGATGGTTAGCGAGGAGGCGTTCGCAAGCTCGGACCAACACTGTTTAAACTATCGGCAGGCGCGACAGATGTCCCCTGCCCCCCCCGATGTTCTGATTGGCATGGGGAGCCGGGTTCTAGCCCTAACGTGCAACCATAGCCCCTGCGTGCGGCTAACAAACACCTCTCTTTCAACCCGATGAAAGTTTGACTACGAGGCTGGTGACAACAATGGTGAGCAGAATGGCATGCAACCCAAACCATGCTACTTCACGCCTTCAGTGCGATACATTCTGAAGCTGTAAAAAAATTGAAAAATCGATATTAGACTATGGTTAAGAATTCTTTCAAACATCTCCTCAAGTGCTCACAGATCATTAAATAATTTCTGGCTACTTTTACATGTGATACCGGTATCTCAGAGTCTGAGTTGAAAACAGCGCCAAGCCTTACAATTCCACATGCAAAATCGTCAGAAATTGGGCCAATGCCAATGCGTCAGCCATATCTCTCTTAATAATTCCTCAGCCAATTTACAGTACTCGTACGGTAGTTAGACACAGAGTCCTAAAGGGTTGGAAAGCAAAATCCAGGGAATTGCTTCACATATTGGTGAAGTCTTGGTTTGGACTGCTTCTCTTGGTCAGTGGTTGGAAGGAAGGTCGTGAATTCTGGCTGTTTCAGCCCTTACAGGGCTCATCATTTTTGACACCAGCCTCGTACTCGTACAGTACTCAAGCAAATTTATCATTCTGTATGCCTTTTCTCCACTACTCGCGAGAAACGCCGTGCTAGTACGGCACTATAGAATGCTTGATAGCATCCTCTGCTACCTTACGCGATGTGTATTGGCTTTGTATTGTAGGGGTGATTGATGTAACTTATGTACGAGTTTCTGCCTGCAATAAAAAAGTGTTATAGGTATACAGTAGTAGCACAGTGCTCCAAGATCCAAGCCGTGATGCTGTATCGATCCGGGTTCATACTCGTCTGGACATGCTGAAATGCATTTGAGCCGAGAAATTCGGGGCGTAAGAGTAAGGTAGAGAGATTTCTGCACAGTAATCGTGGTTAACTCAGCGCACAGTAAAGTTAACCGGCAACAGCTCTGGGGCGAAAATTACGATTAATCACTTTACGCAGTCATGGCGTTCTCCCCCAGTCTGACGTCGGACCAAGCTTCCATGGTTAGCAGGCGGAAGGGTAGCACGGCGCGGAAGGTTCAAGACGTATTCCTTCGGAATCCTTCCTTTCTTCCCTCTCCCAACTTTTGAGACCCCAAGAACGTTTTGTGTGTGTGGTGCACCTCTTTGTCACTGGCGGCAGCTCTCCCCTTTGAGCGATTTATTGGTGGAGGTCTTCTGGAACCATTCGCTGAAATTCTAGGCACGAAAAACCTGCAGTAAAAAAGCATTCACTGAAATGGGCGGGCGTGGCGTCTGATTGGTAGCCAATAAGTGAGGAAAACAGGCTGTCTTACCCTTCCGAAAAAATAAAAATCCGCAGGAACCCCACACGCCGAAGAGTGGATTGTTCGATTTATGATCTGTCGGTTGGTCCGTTCGCCATCCGTTGTTGGTTGGAGGGGGAGGCCATAAGTTGTTCGAATGAGGGACTGGTCGTGACCATTGACTAAGGACGGATGAAGAAGAGTTGGGTGATTGTGCTTCCACGAACAAGCCCCTTCCTCGCCTTGTGGTCCAATTTACCGCTGGTTCGTAGCCCGTTGTAAAATATTTGATGTCGGAACAGGCAACCTTAGACATGAGGATAATTTTAATTTTAAGGTTGTTCTAGAAAAGCACTGGAAATTCTAGGGAGGAAATTGCATAATAGAGTATTCATCATCGGGGGAAAAATCCGATACTTCTTCCTTGCTATACTCGTACATTTATCACCGATGCTGTTTCGTGTGTGCGAGCTCCGGCTACCGTTAAGCTGCTCAGTGAGAGAGAGGGTTACTCTCACTTCCGAATTCAAGTCCCCACTGCTGGCCTACAGTGATTCAAATGGCTATAGCTATTCATCACCCCTGCTGCCTCAGTGCACTGTGCTACTCTACGGGCACTGTGCTCCAAATCTATTCACCTGCCGGGTTACACTCCTGGCAGCTTTGTCTTAGCCTGGCCCTCGCCAATCGCCCTTAACGCTTGCTCCCTCCGTCATCCCAGACCCCCCTCCCTGCCTCCCCGCCATTGATCCTCCCTCGCTTCTCCCATCACTCTATTCCTCCCCTCCTTCCCCTCCTCCTCGCACCATCACCCTAAACTCCACATTCACGCTCACAGGACACTATCGTATCATACTCTTTCTTCACACTCCACCTCCGGTTGCCCTTCTCACCTCCCTCCTCTTCCCTGCCCCCCCCCCCACTTTTCATTCATCCTTTGCGCACCTAAAGACCTTTGCCAGCCATCAACTATTGTGCCTTGCACTCTTTGTTCATAGTGCCATCTCATTTTTTGTTCTAGTAGAGCCCTTTTGCCCCGGACAATATCGTGCGTCTGGCGGGTACTAATCGAGGAACAGGCTCAGCTATTACGCGGAGCCGCCTGCACTGCTTGATTCTGTTTGGCTCGCTCACTAGCATTATCTGTATGTTCCTTCTAGCCTACTCCTGCTTTTTTGCCCCATCTTAGTCTCCCCTGTCCACGGCTACCTGCCGCCTAGCTAACAACCGCTTCTTACTATCAAAAGATATTCTATTCAACCGTCTCCATTCGTGACGCGATATTTTTCTCACTTGAAAACCCTCAAGAGCGATCCGGAGAAAATTATCGCCGGTTTCAATTTGTTTCAGAAGGATTCCTGCAGGGTTGTTGTTTGGCCTAGGCACGGGACAAAGAGGACCAGTGAACTGGAGTCACTGCAAGGCAGAATCGTGACTCAAACCTGAGACTGACTTTACCCTAAGGACGGGAGGGCAGAGAATTCAAATTTTTGTTTTGCTTCTTCGCTGGCCCGGTCCGTTGGCTACTCACCTGGTGGGTTCCCGCTTGTCTCTGCTCTTTGCTGCGCTCTGCGTTTGTGCAAGTTTGACTGACCATGCGTGCGAATCCTAGAGGCTCTCCGTGACATATAAGTAAGAAGGTGGTTGCATACTGCTTTGTCCGCATTATTATTTTAGACGGGCCAGAGCTGATTTTGTGGTTCACAGTTTGGTTTTCAATAACCAAGAATTACCTTCTCCAGACATCTCCAGAGCAACTCAATTTGTTTGTTCCTACCCCTCCACCACCCCCAAGCACATAAGATCAGGATAGGGGAATGTCACTCCCGGAAGCTTACCTCGACGAAGTCAACGCACTCAACCGCGAGATACTAAAATCCAAACCCACGGACGTTCTCCAGTTCTGTGCTAACTTCTTCAATCGCCGCCTCGAAGCTCAGCGAGTCGAATTCCTGCTATCTGCTTCAAATAACTCTGGGTTTTCCTCTTCAAATACTTTCGGAGCAATGCCAAGTTCCTCAGCATATGGTGGCGGTGAAAGCCTCTTCCCTGGCTCCGTAGTGAATCTCGGTGGCCCCCCTTTAGATGGGAATCGCGAGAGCCCTTTTTCCGGAACAATAAGAGAAGAAGATGAAGACGTTGGACAGAGCCCAACTACCCCTAGCTTCAGACCGGCCGTTCTCGGAGGTCCTAGTATTTCGAATCCCAGCCTGGCTGCACCACCTCTATCACCTGGCCAATCACTATTCTCTCCTCGGTCTAGATTTGCCTTTGGTAATGATCAGCCTCCACACCCAGGCTCGTCGCACCTTTCCCCATCCATACACCTTTCTCCAAATTCTGCATCACTCGATTTCCCATCCAACTACAACATGGGTCGACGAACCTCCGTTTCCGCCGAGTCACTAGTCCCATCATCCTCAAATGAGGAATGGAATCCCCCCGTATACCCGAAGACCCCTGAACAGCTCGGCCGTTTGAAAACAGCTGTGTCTGGAAACTTTTTGTTCATGCATTTGGATGACGACCAAAGCGGACAAGTCCTTTCCGCGCTCATGGAGAAACCCATTCCCGGGAAAGGCACCAGGGTTATCACTCAGGGAGATGTCGGTGACTTTTTCTACGTGGTCGAGAAAGGCTCTTTTGATGTTTACGTCAATAGTGCCGGCAGTATGCTTCCCGGCCTCGATGGTATGGGCAAAAAGGTGAACTCAATTGGCCCAGGAGGGTCTTTCGGTGAATTAGCATTGATGTACAACGCTCCGCGTGCTGCCACCATCATATCTACAACTTCACAGAACATCCTGTGGGCATTGGACCGCGTGACATTCCGCCGGATCTTGATGGAAAACACATTTAAGAGACGCAGAATGTACGAGGCATTCCTTGAGGAAGTGTCAATTCTTTCCTCCCTCGTCCCATACGAGCGCGCCAAGATTGCCGATGCTTTGGAGCCATTCACGTTCCATCCTGGAGATGTCATTATTCAACAGGGTGATCCAGGCGACAACTTCTACATCATCGAGTCTGGTGAAGCGGAGGTGGTCAAGCACGGTGCCCACGAACCGGTCAATAGGTTAACAAAGGGCGATTATTTTGGGGAGCTTGCACTATTGAATGACGCCCCGCGTGCTGCGAGCGTTAGAGCAGTAACCAGGGTGAAAGTGGCGACTTTAGGAAAGGATGGATTCCAGAGGCTCTTGGGGCCTGTGGCAGAGATTATGCGAAGGAATGACCCCAGGTTAGCTGAGGGCGTTGACCCGCTCTCCAATGTTGGAAGCCCTGGACCCTCGGGCGGATTTGATGGAGGAAAGGATGTTGTGGAGGAGGCTGCTGGCAGGGGGAGAGCCGTAGAAGTCTAAGGGCATAATTGGTTCTTAAGTTTTTTTTCACTTCAAATGGTGAGTATCTGGCTTAGACTGCTACTCTAGAGTAGTCAGAGGCTATTGGTGTTTCCTCCTCTTATTACCGTCTCCTTGTAACTATTCTTTCTCACTTTCTTTTTTCTTTTTTCTTTTCGTTTCTCTCCTTTGAGATTGATGCCCATGCATTAATGAATGGATGGGGGAAGAGCAGTGACACAGAGGGTTATAACGAAACTAGCAAAATGGGGCTTTCTTCTTTACCCTTTGTTCCATTCTTGCCCTGCTTTCTTTTTTTTTGCTGTCCATTTGGAAAGTTCGCAGTTATAGAGGTGGGGGGTGTCTGAGGTGGCACGAAGGAGGGAGGCACAAGTTGTCTATTAAGCATTCATCTTGGGCATAGTGGGGCTGCTTGTTACGCTTGGTTGGATGATTATTGAAAGCCATTTCCCCCTCTTGCAGTGCAGTGCGGTCGAGTCTTTTGCACAGAGAACATGGGCGATAAATGGTTACTATATTCCTAATATGATATCAGTATATTACCTGATTATTAAACCGAATAAAACGCGACTAACCTACCCGCAATTGTGAAAACCCATGGCATAAGATCCAGTTCTAGTAGTAATACACAGCAGAAGCAGAGAAACCGACCCATATTTATAGCAAAACCTAAATCCAACAACCCCGCTCCCCCCTTTTTAAAAAGAAAGAAAAGAGAGCAATCAACTGTCCAGAACTTCAGCCTTCTCCCTCCTCCTCTTGAGTATCTCCTGCCGGACCGCCTCAGCCCCAGCCTCGACCTCCAACACCCTCCCAATCCCCCTTTTCCACCTCTCCTCTAGCGCGGTCAACTCGGGCCGCACGTCCACCTGCACGCCCTTCCGTTCCTTGTTGACGACCTCGCACTCGGTCTTCAGCTCCATCAACTCCTCCTCCAGCCCCTTCAGCAGTGCCTCCAACTGCGAATTGTGCACGAGCCACGCATTCTTCCCGAACTCGTTCAGTAGCGTTAGGTTTTCCAGGCGTGCCTCCACGTGGACGGCGGAGGCATACGCAGCTGCGAGCGCAGAGCACGAGGCCTCCGCTGCCGGCTCGTACCGGCTCACGTCGATGCCGCCGACCCACGGCTTGCCGGCCGCAATCCTGTCGAGTTCAGCTTGCGTTGCTGGGCGGAAGTTTGACTCCACGAGTGGCGGGAGGCGTGGGTGTGGAGTCGTCTTATGGTCTGCAGAGAGTTCGGAGGTTATTTGTTTGTTGATGGATTCTAGCTCGGAGTCCGTGGGGGGGGTGTCAATGTCTGGGGTTTGTTAGCTTTTTGGTTATTGGTTGGGGGGTTGGGTGAGAGGGGATTACAGGGGAGAGAATCATAGGAAATGATGGCGTCCATGGCGGTTGCCATTTTGGTCTTTGGTGGTTGGTTGTCGGTGGAGGGTTTGTTTGTTTGTTCAATGGAGAGGTGGGTATGACAGTTGGTGGTAGTGGGGGTGGTGGTGGTAGACTACCGGTACGATGCTAACTTCTCTCCCTCTCTCCGGAAGCAAGCAGCGTGTTTGCCCCTTCGGGGGTTTTACCCTGGCGGCTTGGCGTAACTCCCGCTCGAGACCTACTCGAGTGCCGTACCAATACGTAACCTCGAAAAAATCCCCGACCTGGCCTTGGCTCTCATTTCTTTCCATGCTTAAATTCATTTCTCAGTAAACCCTACCCCTTGATCCCCTACGATATCATATTGCAACCTACATAATTTAACCTCAAACCTTGATTATCCCCATCGCGCATCCTAATCTTCGAGACAAGCCACTCGCCCACTCCCTCCTTCGGGGGCAGATTTCCTCAGAATATCGAGCTCATGGATGCTATTTGTTCGATGGTCATACATATAGTACCAGTACGCGATCAAGTTGTTGCTCAGCCGTACGCCTCGGAGGCATGATTTGAAGGGGTATACGATACTCCACCTGGAAAATATTGTCACGGCGAACCACTGCACGATCTATTCAATCAAGTCTTGGAAATATATCTTCAAGGAAGGAGTTATTGTAGCTGTGCTCGTATGTTGGAAACTACGATTTCTAAGTTAAGCTGATGATAATTAGACTCCTTCAAGATCATACATTAGCACCAAAACATTGTCATCATACATATACCGGTGCTCGAGTGTAATCGATTTCTGAAAGGTCGTTAGTGCGGGAGTTTCTCTGGGGGTTTCTTTTTCCCGACCACCACTTAAGAGGGCCACGCTCGTTCTTTTAACCAGAAGGGCCAAAGTGGACTTCTGGAAATTGAACCCGGAGCGAGAGACGCAATCCCCGAGAAATCCAAGCACTCACGGCTCTTTCGAAATGGATGTCAAGCTCTAGCTCTAAGCAAGCCAATATGAGGCTTCAGAAGAAAGGCTTTATGCCGCGCCTGAATGGGTATTGTGCGGTAAAGGCTGGTAGCTGTTATTCAAGGCAAGGATTATGATACTTGCCGTTTTCAAAAGTATCTGAAAATCTTGGCACGTTTTGGGCCTAGGAAACGCCAAGATCTCCGGATACTATTGAAAACGGCAAGTAATGCCAAGCCGCTGTTACATTCCTCCGGCCTTCTGCGTCATGGAGGCCGCTTAGATACAAACCGAGATCCCTCTAGTGCTGGATTCTTACTGAAAGGCTAGATATCACTTTGAGTTCTTTTGTTGGAAGTTATTTGCTCCAACACCCCACACCAGTGCTTCAAGATGGCTGAAAAGGAGTTTAGAGCTATGGGCCCCCAGGAACTGATGCACTTTTTGAATAGTACTTCTTTGGAGAATCACTCTACCGAAACTCGCTCAAGTGGGAATTTTAGGGAGAGCCGAGACGAGGTTTGTACATTTGGGATTTCGTTGACAGCCGTTATCAGATGGAGTACTGAGTTGGCAAGTTTTTGCTCTGTTAGGGAAATTCTTCCACACGCAAAGAGAAAGCTCCGGGATTGTCTATGATTAAGGCTCAGAAAAAAGGGACTATGCAAATAGCTCACTTGCCACTGGCAATGGTAGAGACATATGATGTGCGTGCCAGCGCTATTTACGGAATGCCCAAAGAAAAAGCACTATGCTAAAGTACTATAGAATCTCTTGAGATCACTCACCACGCTATTTCCACCTCCCGAAGGCACGGAACGGGACATAACCATGTCAACGTTCGAAGGGGATTTGATATCCTCGCCAGAGGAGTACATAGTTGTGTTAAAGCCGGGCTTGCACATTATATTCAATTACCCACCTACCGTGGAGGAGCTATCAATGAGCTTTGATGCTATTTGGCCAACACATCCACCAGGAACGTTATACACACCGGATCCGAGTGACTCAACGCCAATGGAGAGTGATACTATAAACAAATACCTAAACTTTGCATCTCCAAAGCTCACCCCCTCGGCGAACTTGAGAAAGTACGAGTTGCAGCCGCCAGAAATACACTTCCACGTACCAGCCCCGACGTCAATTAGCATTACCTTATTCAACGCGTCCTTCCCAGCAGCATACTTTTACCCGCCCAAAGACCCGGAAGACGTGCCCCCCGCAGGCCCCTCAGCCCCAAAAGCCTTCAGGTACGCCCCCGACAAGTCAAGGGAATCAGCTCCAGCACTAGACTTTACCCCGACGGGCGAGATTGCGTATGCCCCGCTCCCACCTTGGAGTCCCTTCTCCCTGTACAGAAGCCCTAGCAGCAGCGGCAATGGCGACGACGAAGCTTCCCCGACCCTGACCCAGCACGTCTGGGAGTGCCGCCCCGACGGCAAGTACAAAGTCTTCTCAGGCGGCACCTTTTCGACGACCTGCTTCGACGTGTTCGCCCAGACCGAGCGAAAGCGTGTGATCTCCTCGCTCAGCTGGGAAGTCGAGGTCTCGCCCGACGGGGCGATCAAGGACTTGGTGTCGGAGGAGGACATGCGGACGCTTAGTTGGCATTCGACAGACGATCAGCTGGTCATTCCTCCCCACGGACCAATGCAGAGGAAGAAGACGAGCGAGAAGAAGGTTTACGTTAATTATGCGGAGCCGTTTGGTGGTGGGAATAGTAAGCGGGGTGAAGGGGAGGAGGACGGAAGGGAGATTGGGAGGGATGGGTGGTGGATGGTTGCACCGAAGAAGTTGCCGCTTTCGTTCTCCGGGGAGCAGGAAGGGCGGAGGACTTTTATCGTTGGGTCTGTGGAGGAAGGGATGGAACTCTTGCAGGCTTTTATGACGAGGTGTGGAGTCGGAGAGGACGTTATCAAGGTATCATATGCATCCCTTCCTTGCTTCTCCACAAATCACTCGGTCTACAATTCACTAATCAAACCAGTCCTACACAACCCACTGGGCCCCCAAACTTACCTTCAGCCCCCCCTCCCGCCACACGCCCTTGGCATCAACAAACCACACACCCTCTATAAATCCCTATATGTGTTTCCCGAAATCCCTACTGATCAAATTCCTCTACCCCCGCGAACTCCGCACCCTCCTACCGCTAAGCATAACGCCTGAACCGCACCGCACAGTCCGCATATTCCCCATCTTCCGTGTCGTCGACGCGGGGGAGATGGAGGCAGAGGAAATCGTCCCAGGCGCGGACTTCGAGACCGAGATCGAGAAGGTCCTCGGTGGGCTGGGGTCTTGCGGCGGGGGGTGGAATTGCGGCCATCGGGGGTACAAAGTTGCAGAGGTGGGGGGCGTTAGGGTTTTTGGGCCGCCAGATGGTACAGGAGAGGGAGAGGAGGAGGAGGGTACGGTGATTGGGGCTAGTCCGCCAGGTGCTGATGGTAACTGTGGGTGGGGGGATATTGCGAATTTAGATGCGCTTGTGGTCGGGGACGAGGGGGTGAGGGGGATTAGGAGGGAGGGGTATAGTAGTGGGGAGGATACGATTTAGAATTATTCCTCTTTTTTATTTTCCACATTTTTTTGGTGCTGTGTACCATCCATCTATCGTAGATTACGGTATTTGGTAGAAGTATGATAGTATGGTACTTACTAGCACACTCTTTAGGATTGGACCAGCTCAGTCATGCTTCTCCCCCCAAAAACAAAATCACTTTTGTAAAAGCTTTCAACCTCATTGACAATACTAACCCCTCGAATGACTCAATCACTACCGCCAACTCAGCACGTCAAGCATAACCCAAAATCAATACCGCCCCCCCCCCCAAGCCTCACCATGCAAAGCGAGTCTCTACCACCAAAAAAAAAAAAAAAAAGTATAATACTCGCACAACAATTCCTACCTGAAGCATGCGATGCATAACGGGGCAACTTCCCATAATCATACGGTACCTAACTCCCATCCTCATCATCACAGTCATCCCGGGTCGGTTCGGTCCCTCGAAACTCCCCCAAACCAGCCAGCCAGCCAATGAAACTCCACGCGCAAAAAAAAAAATCCTCCCCGGCTGCCCTGCTTTGCCTGCCTGCAGGCGACTGCCAACACAGGGAAAAAAGAGAGACACCGCATCACTAAAGTAGGCAGCTACGATACTGCACGATAACTCGACTCCTATCAAGACAAGTCCGGGGGCAGCAGTACTTATATAACTCCCCCCCTCTCGCCTGCCCCGCCGGGCGTTGCAAGGCGTCGAAGAAGAAAGAAAGGATGAAAGAAAGAATGAAAGAAAGGAAGGAAGGAAGGAAGAAACCTATCCACCCATCTGACAAACCTATGAGTTATACAGTTGCCAGGTAATGTATCCGCGGAACAAAAAAAGAAAAGAAAAAAAAAAGTCACAGCCCCACAAAAAGAACCGGCAAGAAGGGGATGAAAGGGAAAAAAAAAAGAAAGAAAGAAAGGAACACTCACCCGACAACGTCCAATTGGACCGGGGGAGGCGGGCGGGTGCACCAATAATCTTGTTCGCAAGTCATTACGTAAGCTTCTCTCGCCTGCAACCTGGAGTACACTTTGTAGAACCTCCTACCTATCTACCTACCGGTATCGTATCGTACAGTACCGGTACTCACTTTGTGCTCTCGGGTGAGCGAGGCTCAAGCAACCGGCCGACCGGAGATACAGTAGGGTACGAGTACTCGTAACTGGTTACCGCATGGAAGGGTAAGAAAAGAAAAGAAAAGAAAAGAAAAGAAAAGAAAAGAAAAGAAAAGAAGAAAAGAAAAGAAGAAAGAAAAAAAGGGAAAGTGCTGAATTGTGTATCATATATCCATTGTCGGAGTTTAGAGGGGTAGTAGTACTGTACTTTGGTACGAGTTTACGATAATTACCGTAGTTATTGAGCCTGGGTTCTTTCCTTCCTTTCTCGGTCTTGACGGTTTTCTTGAGAATTATCCTCAGCCGTCCTTTTCGTTGCTGTTGCTTGCTCGTAGCTGGCTTTTTTTTTTTTTGTCCTACCGTGTCTGGAATGTTGCGCGGATGGACATGAGAGGGGAGGAGGAGGAGGAGGGACCCTGTTTCATTTCTTGGAAATTCTGATACTTGAGTGATACTTGTCGCTCTGTTTCTTGAAACTGCTACGAGTACGAGTACTAGAGTACCGGTAGTGGATGAGTATCATACAGGTAGAGTGCCTGCGTTGCATTGCGATTGTGCGCATGGGTGTTACGGGATGGATTGTATTCATAGGATGTAATTGTAATTACCACTTGCTTCTTCTTCTTCCACATATGGGGGAGGAAGGAAGGAAGGAAGGAAGGCAAAAAAAAAAAAAACAAGGAAATTTAATGTACTCGAGTATGACAATACTGTAATGGGAAAGACCAATACAATCCAATCCTATCGGACCAAATGAAACCAAAGTCAAATTGAATCAGGTAAACAAATTTGCGGCAGCGCTAAAGCGAGATGAAACTATTGTATCTACTTGTAAGATGAGAGAAGAAGGGAAAAAAAAAAGCAAAGTATGATGGTATTGTAAATAATTTAAAGAGATTTGTGTTTGGTTCCCCCCCTCCAACAAAAACAAAAAAAAGGGAAGAAAAATGGGAGGAAAAAAGAAAATCCAAACAACTGATCCCTACGCTACGCAAACAAACCGAACGGGAGGACAAAGTGGTTGAGATGGGGAAATTGGACAAAAAAACCTGTACAGGCTTCCTTTTTTCCGCGGAACCGGAAAAAGGGGGGAGGATGTAGGTGGATTAATTAGGCGAGCGTTCCTGCTTGACTTGATGCTGCTGAAGAGTGAGGATGATGATCGTGATGAGGGGAGTGAGGTGGACGATTCTGACAGTTTCGGCAATGCTAAGTAAAAGTTACTTGGTCAATACTCATCTCTTCCCTTTCCCACCATTCCTCTGGGTTTACTCGGGGTTGGGGGGGTTAATACATTCGAAGAGGCAGGAGAAGAGGAAGGAGGAGGAATCATCAAGTATGCATTCTGATGCAGCGATGGAAGGACCAGTTGGACGTGCTAGTAGTGGTGAATTGCGTTAGTTTTTTCCCATGGTGGTGGTACTGTAGAGTGCAAAACGGGTGCGGGGTGCTCAATACAATTGGGCTGGTAGCCTGCTTCTGTCTCCTCATGCCCCGATTCCTTGGATGGTGACTTGGTCGTCGGTGTTTTGACGCTGCTGCATCTCGGTCTTCGAGAAATTCCGCTGAAAAGGCTTTCAGGTCGTTGATTTGGCTCTGTTCTCGTCGAGTGTTAGTTCGCCGCTAATTTTGATAGAATGGGGTGAGTGAATGAATAGACGGGGGAAACCTACGGGCAGGAATGGCCTCGTGGCGGTCACCCAGTATACGTCCTCGCCGTCCTTAATTGAGGTAAGCCTAGGATCCGTAGAAGAAGGAGAAGAAACAGCTATGGTAGAGTTGAAAAGTACCTGAGTCCGCTCCAGACTGGCGGATGCCTCAGGGCCTAGGAATGAATTGATGCAGTCCTGAAGAACCTCCCATTCAATACCTTCAGCGGACATGCGATATGTCATTAAATTCTCCTCTCTGTAGGGTATAGGCGAAGGTGTAGTGTAATCCATAGTAGCGAGTGATCTGAGGTTCGATTCTTTCCTGCTTTCTCGGATTGAAACCGTTGATAGAAAAGTTGGTTTATCAAATTCAGCGCACAAGAAAGAGAGAGTCCGAAAAAAAAAAAAGAAACGAAAATAAAGACTGAACTTTGAAGTGCAATGCGGCTTTATTAAAAAAAAAAAAAAAAAAAAGCGAGAAATAACCCCACCCTCTCTCCGCGGCGGACCCCTTATGTATTTTGTACTCGTAGTCGGGTATGATACGAGTGCGGTGGTAGTCGGAGTTGTGACGACCTACTTGTGCTCAAATTGTCGATCGTTTTGGGGTGCCATCCATCCACGACTATGATACCTGTACCAGTAAGTGGGGCGAACACAACCAAGCCAACCAGGACTTTTTCGAGCCGGCCGCCTTAAATTTTTTCAGCCCTGTTCCACTCGAGCACTACGGAAACTTGGCAGTCGAGGGGATGAAGATCTCTTGAGTAGAGTACCGTACGAGTACGGTACTGTTCATGCAAGGTACTGTACCGTACTTTTTGCGCCTGGAAAGTGAAGTTATACCCGCGCCTCCAGAATTTTTGTTTTGTTCCGTCCATGGAACAAATTAAGTTGCAGGTTAGAATCCTAGGCCAGACTGGGTTGATGGCAGAAAGGGACACTTGGATACATAATTATTATGATAGATGCTTTTTCTTATGTCGTAATTCATAGGGTGAAGACAAAGATGGCGTACTGTAGGGCTGGATATGCGAGTGCAGCAGAAATTGTTTATAAGTTGCCACTGTTGCTATTATTCCTAGGGCAAGTCAGTCAGTCCCTGCGGGTAAACCGGTACCCCAGTATTGAACTACTCGTATCATATCAACCACATTACTAGGCCATGTCACCACTTGGTCTATGTATGATTCAACTACTCGTATGCACCGAAGCACATACTCGAGTAGTTATTATCTTCATGGTTGTTTGTCAGTTGCATCAAAAGACCCGTATGGCTGAATGAATGGTTAACCATTTACCCTTGACCGTTTGATAAAGATGATGCGGTGCGTTGCCAGTGCATAGGACAGACTTACCCGTGGGTATAATGGGCCACTCCGCTCAGCAGAAATATTGCCGGTATTCAAGCTAGTATTCCTTCTGGTCGGTTTGTCGCGGTCCTACCGCTCCGCATAATATTCCTACCCATAGTTGTTGTACTGTACGAATACCTATACAGTACAGTGCAGTGCAGTACAGCCTTGATCTTGTCGCCTTGCATTTGTACTGTATAGTACAGCAGCTGTACGGTGCTGCATAACTACGAGTGGTCCGACAGGCATCTCAAACGAGCAATAAGTTATCGTACCAGTAGCAAACCACTCGCCATTCCTACCGGTAGTTTACGAGGCCGGAACTAGGGCGGTGAAGGGTCGAAAGGTCATTTTGAACTAGAGAACTTGGTCTTTCTTCTGGAATTCTGCTCAAGCATCGTTTCTGCTGTGCCTCGTACCCAATTTGACCCCTCGGATGCTGATCGACGACGATCTTAACTAAACGAATGCCGGTATTGCCTTCTGACCTGCACCGTGCTTGGCCAACTATTCGAAATGCGGATCGCTGTTCTTGAATCGCCCTGTTTGAACGATTAATGTTTCTCTCCAGGGGTGATCGTTGAATCTGCTCGGAATGATAAGTTGCTTCGGCAGAATGCCCGAAATACCGGTATGATAGAAGGGGGGTCTTTCAAATGAAGTGGGAGATTGGCAACCCATCAGCTTCTAGAAGCGGAAATCTGATATTCGCTATTGAGGCGACAAGAGTTTATGCCACGATGCCGTATTGCGCACGTTTAGCCGTAGCCTACCCTCTCAGCTATGGGTAGAATCTAGTTCATACCGTTAATGTGGATGTCTTTGAATCGGCTCCTTTCGAGCGCAGGAGAATGGATAAACCGTACGGCCCCAGAGGAAAGAGTGACATCATCAAAAATGATAGATATATCTTGAGGCGAGCCCATTCGGTGATACTTTGCTAATCACACTTCTGGCCTCAGTGGGGACCTGGATGTACAAGTAGTGAGCCTCCCTACTTCCTAATGCTCCTGGGCCCAATTGCTGAGGGTCTTCGCATACAATACCGCTACTTTTGCAATGTGGCGAGGCTTCGAATTCCGAAATCCCGTAGGCAAGTATCCGGAATTACTTACGAAAAAAATGAAAGAACCAAAGGTCATTTCCCGTTTCCCGAAAATTCCTAACTTTGCGGATTTGCGAGAGGTTCCACCTTCTAAACCGCCGGTAGGTCTACTAGTATCTAAAGGAACACATTGTTTCCGGGAAACATTTAGTGTGTCTCATCTGTCGTGTATGCAAACGTGTGTAGAATGAAAGATGGCAAGCTGTAGCGGATGCTTAATATCAAACGTTCTATCACCATCAATGTGCTGCAAGGAGCCACCATGTAGAGTATCTAATATGACACCTCGGCGTCGGGTACTCGAGTACATGCTCCAGGTCTGATCCCGGAAGTCAAGACTGGGATCTTAGCACCGGTGATCTGCGAATAGAGCCATCAGCATTGCTAATGGTGGAGGGGAGTAGGGGGGCTGCGGTGCTCCAGATGATCCACCAATAGGATCCTTGACACCAACATTCTAGCATTAGGATCTGAAAGCTAGTAGATGTACTAGTATATTATATTGAGTGTGCGCGGGAACGAATCGCCTCACGGCAGATGTCATACGGTACTGGACCAGCTGATCAGTAACAGCCGACACGATAGGCGCTTTCGATTTCCTGCTGTGGAGAGTTACCTTGCTGCCTTGCCCTAATATTGAGCCTTAACCACTACTCTTAGAAAGCAGATAGCACTAATCGCTTCCCCGTCTCTCAGATACTATTTCCCGGGCTTGACGCGCTGCCCCTGGTTGAGTTGAGGAGGGTTATGCCTCTACAGCCTCGAGGGAACCTGCTAGGACCTTCAGGAGTGCTTCGCACCAACCCCCCGTGGGCTCCTAGGGGCGCCCCAAGCTGGCGACCCCAGGACCCAACGAACTACCTCCGCAGAGTGGCCTTCCTTCCCGTATCAGTTCTCACAATGCGTCACTCGGCGTTTGTCTTATAGGCGGGGGGGGCCACAGCTCAGGACGGACCAGTCGGATCTTGGGCCAAAACGGGAAGAGTGGACATTGTTCAAGTTGGCAACATGGGCTCGAAACCCAAGGGATTACCGTTACTCGAGTACGGTGCTCGAGTACAAGTATACACAGATCTCAAGCCTCAATAAGCCCCTCCCGAGCCAAACTGTGAAGTTCGAGGTCTGTGCGAAAGCTGCCAACATGGCTCAACGACTCCCTCAACAGAAAACCGGGACCCCAGAGTCAAGCTACCCAACCCCGGCCAGGCTCCACCAAAAAAAACAATAGCCACGGCATTGGATAGCAAAGGGTGACAGCCATGTATTGTGATTTTTGAAATCTTGAAAAAATCTTTCTTTCTCAAACACACCATGCTTTAACCTGATCTAGTAAAGGTCTCTAGAATGTTCGTTGGTTTTCTCGACATCCAGCTGGCTTTTAGGCCCAGAAGTGCCCTTATAGGCAGGGTGGTATCCCTTCTTTCCATGATAATAGGTTGCGGCGTTGTCTCAGACACGATGGATTCTCCCTCCCAAGTTAGCTCAAAATGTCGACACCCAGAAACCGCAATGCCTGCTGCATAGAAAAAAAAACTGGGATGACATGAGGGGTTACCTTATCGCATCTTCGACCACTAACATCCATCCAGACCCTTGTATACCGATCATTGGCGACCCTCGCCCCTTGCAGATACTGGGGGACAACAGGTGGGAGTGAGGCAAGGGAAAAGGTTGGCGCGGCGGTGTCGCCAAATTTCCGCTCAGGTGGGGGCTGTTATGAGACCTTATGATTTTACAGCCTACGGATCTGCCAGCGTCACTTGGTGACGGGTGTTGATGCGAATTTTCGGGACACTTTGTTCGCAAAACACGGGCATTCCGTGTCCTGCTACGAGTACTATAACTTGCTTCAAATAAGGGGGACCCTCTCAGGTGTGCGGGATCTTTAGGTGCATCCACATGCATGGAAACCTTGCAGTTGACTCATGAGTAAGCATACTCGAGTATCAATGCATTGAAATCATCATATCTCAAGCACTCCAAAGTAATTCGTGATAGGATCGGTGAGAGAACCAAAAGTTTGTTCGTCAAGACTTCGTAAACCGGAAAACAGAAACGCCTCTACTCGAGAAGGCGTTCAATAGGAGCTACCTATAAAAGAATGAATGATCGAAGCTGAAAACCATTCTTAGCAGATGTGGTATATGTGGAGTGGTGAGCGTCACACAAAATCAAGCCACATCTGCAATGAAAATGCGCCCTTGCAAGTGCACGATAGCGCCCAATAGGGAAAGTTGAGCATAGTCGCACTAGGCTCAGAGTTCAAGGTATCCGGATCATCAAGATCAGGGACAGCGAGGTGTGACTGTTGTGCTCAGGCATCGATGAGAATGGCCCGACAGCTAGGAAATTCTAGAGGCCGAACCATCATACCCTCGTGAGAAATAGAATAATGGGCTTGGTTTGATATCAGGCAAAGTAGGAAGCTTTTGACACATCGAATCCCTGTCCATACCCGAGTACGGGGTTTTCTGCCACCCTGGCGCCTCCAAGGATCAAAAGGGGGGGTTTTTTTTTATAGTACTCATTCAGAGACACATTCCTCCATTTGTACAAGTTGCAAATACTTGGAAGCTCTTAATGTCTCCTGTTCGGTTAACATGTTATCCTTCACATATACATTCAGCCTTATTAGGTGATTGATAATAGCCTCAATATTTGAAAATACTGTAGTAAGATATGGAGTTACTTATTTCTTCATCTTTCTACTATACTGTAACTCTCCTACCTATACTGGAAGAGATTGGTTTATAGCCTGTATAATTACATGTTTACCCCTTTGTCATAATGGAGTAAGTATGATATCATATCTTTTCTATATTTTTCAAAACAGCTATTTGGTTCCTAGATAATTCCATTTGATTAAGTCTTTTCACTAACTTATATACCATTTTAAGGGTGATTCAAGTTGAATGTTTATGGAAAGATAGTTAGTATTAATCGGTCTACTGTACTTCAATATTAATAGTTTCAAGAGGTTT